GTGTTCCTTCAAGATACCCTGCTAGGACAGAGCTAACTAACCAGGCTTTAGTCTTCTCTTGGGGCACACGCTCTGATGCTTCCCTGCCCACTCTTGACTTCCTATATGCTTCCTGATTAAAACGCTGTCACAGATAAATCATGACTCTGCCTGTTAGGACCATTTTCTACTTTCTTTAACGAAAAGCTTGGAGCCATCAGATTAAAAAGATGAGCAAGTTCTGGAGAATTATATACTCACATGTAAATATATGTATACAAGTGTGTCGTATCTCCCAACTCTATAACTAGTCATGGATCTGGGAGTGTTCTCTGCACACTTCCTCCCTATGCACTGCTTTGTTTATATATTTTTATATACTTCCGGTCAGTCACTTCCAGTCAATCACTGGATTACTTAGGTAACTTCCTAATGAATAGATTTTAGGAGGATTGGAGGAGTTAGCCTGGTTTTCCTTCAACATAGGCACTAATTGATTGGAAATTGAAGTTGTCTCAGAGATGAGTTTCAATTTTAAACGCAGCAGGCATCCAAAATGTAGTTTGTGGGAGTTCCCACCTAGGCACATAAATGAGTAGCCCTTCAGGCGCCTGAGACTAGTGATAATCTGCCCTTGGCTCAGAGGGACATAACTCAGCAAACTGGAGTGAACAAGGAAAGTGCTTGATTTATTTTCATATTTGACAAGCACAACATTTCCAAAACCATGAAGTGAAACCAATTTACCCAGTGAAAGTCAAGGAAGTCAAAAAGCAACCTACGGAATGGGAGAAGATATTTGCAAATGTCTTATCAGATAAAGGGCTAGTATCTAAAATCTATAAAGAACTTATCAAACTCAACACCCAAAAAACAAAAAAACATAAACAGACATTTCTCCAAAGAAGACATACAAATGGGCAACAGACACATGAAAAAATGTTCAACATTGCTTGGCATCAGGGAAATACAAATCAAAACCACAATGAGATACCTCCTCACACCAGTCAGAATGGCTAAAATTAACAACTCAGGAAATGACAGATGTTGGCGAGGATGCAGAGAAAGAGGAACCCTCTTGCACTTTGGTGGGAATGCAAGCTGGTGCAGCCACTCTGGAAAACAGTGCGGAGGTTCCTCAAAAGTTAAAAATAGAGCTACGCTAGGATGCAGAAATTGCACTACTAGGGATTTATCCAAAGGATACAAACATAGTGGTTCAAAGGGGCACCTGCACCCCAACGTTATAAAGCAGCAATGTCTATAACAGCCAAAATACGGAAAGAGCCCAGATGTCTACAATGGAATATTAGCCATCAAAAAGAACAAAATCTTGCCACTTGCAACGATGTGGATGGAACTAGAGGGTATTATGCTAAGCGAAATAAGTCAGAGAAAGACAAATACTATATGATTTCACTCATGTGTGGAATTTAAGAAATAAAACAGATGAAAGTAGGGGAAGGGAAGGAAAAATAAAATAAGACAAACACAGAGAGGGAGGCAAACCATAGAGACCCTTAACTCTAGGAAACAAACTGAGGGTTGCTGGAGGGGAGGGGGGATGGGGTAAGTGGGTGATGGGCATACTTGTTGTAATGAGCACTGGGTGTTGTAAGCAACTGATGAATCACTAAATTCTACTTCTGAAACTAATAATACAGTATATGTTAATTAAATTGAATTTAAATAAAAAAATAAAAGGAAAAAGCTGTCCTAAAACCATATTTGTATCTACTGCTCATCTGCACCTCCACCCCTGCTTCCAAATTCTGTCTGTATTCTGCCATTCAGTCCTCCGCCCCAGTGCTTCGGTTAGCTTCCACCCTCGCTGGAGGGCATCTCTCCACACTGCTCCCCCCACAGGGATTCCAGCTCTCTCCACATCTGTTTGTCTCAGGTGCCACACGAGGTTTCTTGCCACTCAAACTGCTCCACCTTGGGGTCAGGGCCCTGGCCATGAAAAGGAACATTCTCTGTCTCATATGTACTATTCTGTATCCTTTTGTCCTATGCCCAGACTGACCTAGCAAGGCCACCCTGGATTCCTATGCTCTAGAATTCAGATCAATCCCTTTTTGGGATGCCTGCCACCTGCATACTTTCCCATTTGCTTTCTATCCTCTCAGACTCTTCATTATTGCATGTTCATGTTCAAAACCCCAAACTGGCATTTCAGCAACGACCTGAGTTCCTGCAGACATTTGCCTCAATGACTAATGTCACATCAATGGCGTTCCTTGCTTGGTGAGTTGTTTCATCAAGGTTTTGTATCTTCGCACTAATGGTGATTCCTGCCCACTGACGCATTCCATTTCACTTCGGGAGCGTGACAGTTAATGTCAGCTTACCCAGTTAAATAACGGTCAACCCCCAGGCCTTGAGCGCTGGGTATTGAGATAGAACTGCGTGAGATGCAACTGCGTGAGATGGAACAAAAGAGGGACTCTCAGAGAGGATACTTAAAATTGCTCAACAAAGTTTCAGTTTGAGGGCTTTTTGAAATATTGGTTTCAAAGACTTATAAAGAATTTACAAATAAAATCTGTTATTTTTATTTATTCACTTATTTGTTTATTATTTTTAAAAGAGAGAGCAAGCAGGGGGAGGGGAGGGAGGAGGGACAGAGGGAATGGGAGAGAGAGAATCTCAAGCAGACACCCTGCTGAGCGCGGAGCCCAGCATGGGACTTAATCTCACAACCTTGAGACCATGACCTGAGCCAAAATCAAGAGTCGGATGCTCAACCGACTGGGCCACCCAGGTGCCCCTCTGTGTTATTTTAAAAATAAGTGATGATAAGACATTCAAAAATGAGCATGATTTTCATGCTTTGTTAACTAAGAAGACATAACAGCAGAAATGAACATGAACTTTTATAAACAACTCCTCCACATTCCTCTTTACAATGCTAAGATTCTCTCAATAGTTTAATAAAAAAAGATTGTGGAAGAAATATCCAGCAGAGGTGGAACGGGTGGTAGAAAGGCCACTACACCAAAACCGAAACCACAGATATATGGGACACAACTCTAGCTTGGTGGGAGTGTCGCTTAAAATTTCTGTATGTTAATTTTCTGTGGATAAAAATAGCAGGTGTATCTAACCTCACAGATAGGTAGTAAAGTAAAACAGATGTGGAAAATCAGGAATGAGAGATAATGTGATTTGGTAATATTACTCCCTAAATTCTGGAAAGTGCTATTTTCAGTTTAAATTCAAGCAGCTTCCTTTTTAACCTGAAGATTTCAAAGTATTTAATAAGAAATATAAAATAAGCTCAAATAATTGTGAATCAGTACCAAAACAATGAAATTAGCATGAAAATGCACATGAGAATCCTTTCCAGCATTTACTATAACTAATCACATAGGAAGGATGTGTGGACTTTGGGTCCATTCCAAAGTAGCTTTGCAAACTAATACCAAAAATGTATCAGCCCTGCAATTACAAGTCTTCATCCTCCTAAGCTTTACCCACAGTAAAAGGAATTTATTCATGGCAAGAATTCATCCCATTTATTGCATAACTGTGCACAGGAAACTGAATAAATTATAAATAATTCAACATGGGTAGTCAAGGTGAATTTAGCAAATCAAGATATATCTGACCCAACAGCTGTAGGCTTTACACCTGGGGCCCCAGCACATGCAGAGATACCAGAGAAGCAAGGATGGGAGGAGCGGACAGGAAGAAAAGGGAGTTAAGGGTCCTCTTATAATAAAGTACACATCACTCCTGATTTTTTTGCCCAATCTTTCATTATTAAACAAAAGAACATTATGTGCTATTATAACTAAAATAATCTACCTTAGATTATTTTAAAGCTTTGTCTCATTTTTATGCTATCCTACATTTAATGGCTAACATAAAACAAAGAAATGAATTTATTTTTGGTGTTTATAGTCACTGAAAAGTTACATTTCCATCTTCAAGACAATATTCTAGAATTTTTTTTTTTTTAGAGTAACGTGACAAGGCTCAGCAGCTCCTAAAAGTGCTGAAAACAAAGTGGTAGATAAGCCTGAAACTTGATGGTTGTGAAGTCCTTAAAAAACAATACTGTGTTTTTAATGGAGTTACACAGAGTGAGAAACTAAAGCGATTTTGCTTTCCCTGAGTGTGTTTCTCAGTCTGAAGTTAGAAAAGCAGCTCAGTCTGATTGAGCTGGGTAGGGGGTAAAGAACTCGCCAGGTTTTACACATGAAAGCAAATGCTTAGTAGAATTAAAAGCCAATGTACACTAAACTGTTAGTGTTAACCGATGCCAACCCTAAGCTGTACTCAAAAAGTGGAGCGTGCACGTTCAAAGCTGATGACACTCATCTGCTTGCCAGGAGCAGGGTCCCGAACACCAGGCAGCACAGCCAGAAACCATAGTGCATCTTGCTCAGAATGCAGTGGTCAGCATTTGTCACATGCATCTCAGAGAGAGGCAGAGTTTTAAGATGGAAGGTTCTCTGAAAACCCTGTGGCCCAGACCATGGGGCCAGGACAGAAAACCATGTTTCATGGTTTCATGGAACTCTTGTGTCTCACGTGATATTCATAGAAGTAAAAGAAGAATTGTTTAAAAAAAAAAAGTGAAAAAGATTCCCACAGTCAGATGTTAAAGAAATTTGGAATGAATCAAGGTTAAAAGTGTTTCTTTCCCGAAGGACTCTCTGAGCTTTCAGGTTCCCTCATTGTCGGGCCCGAGAGCTCTCTTTGAAGAGATATCTATTAGGCTATGGCTGGATACTTGTGTTTCCTGGGGCACAGCTTGGGAAATACTGAGATAAAATATGATTAACCCTGGTTTAGAGATGAGGGCATCAAGGCCCATGGACATTATGTCCTAGAAGGACAACTCAGGTCTCCGGCCTCCTAGCATCAACTTTTCCTAGGAGACAGTCAGAAATCTGAGAAGAGACTGCAACCAGAGTTCTTAGCAATGCCCATACCCTGGAAGGGTATCGGAAGGCTAGACCTTCTGAAAGTACATATGCTCTTCTTTCTTGGCTCAGTTGGGACACGCAGACCCTCCCAAATCATGATTACCTGATACAAAGGCATGCAGATGCTATCAATCCACTCCAGTTGCAACCGAGGCAGTTCATCTTTCCGGTTCCGATCAAAAATAGCCTAGAATGGGGGAACAGAATTTGCTTTATTACGCTGGAGTATTTTACAGGTGCTTTGTCAAACACTTTGCCACAATGATCCAATTTTTACCAACTGAACACTTCACAAATCACAATCAATCTTTACATGTACTTTCTTTTCCTTTATCTATGATGAGAAATAAAGTATTTTCACCTTTTCTTATGAGATTTGTAAGCAAATTTATTTGAACTTTATAGCACGCAACTCCTTGGAGCCAAAATCTGCCTTCAGATACAGGTAATGGCCACTAAATCAAGTCATCAGGTCACTGGGAATTGGGTACAAGTCAAGGGGAAGGGGATATGTTTTATTGCCACAAAAATAATGCAGGCTTTTATTTTTATAGCGAAAGAAGGTGGGATAGATTAGAAAAGATCCTTAAAGCAGCTTCACCTTAAATAGAAACTATTTGTATTAATTTTTCAGGGTGGGGTGTTGGTTTGACAACTCTTGTGTGTTTTTCAATAAGGTTCTGTCATTAATAAAAATCCTAAGTTTTTATCTATCATGGGATGGATGATGTGGTAGGTACCCATTCCCTCCTCCTTCCCAGCCTTTAAACTTCATGATACTATAATGTTTAGAAAATTTAGGTATATTCTTCAAGAAAAAGAAGTGACATATGTCTGTTGGGCAGACATGAAAAGGGAGCCAATCAGCTGGACTTGGGGCGCACATGGATTCTTGAACAAACACAGCCGGTTCTACTCCATTAAGCATGTCCCTCTCTCTGCTATCAGCGAGTAACGTCAGGGTCTACGAAGCGACCTTCCCCTGCATTACTGTCTTAAAGTAGGTTTGGTCTTTCCTCTACAGAGATAACATGTGGCATCCACATCATTTTGGCATTCACATGGGTCATGAGGGCAGATCCAAGGCATTCCCTTGGTCTGGAGATGCTGAAAAAGCCAGCATCCTTCAGACTCATGAATGAGGGTGGGAGTGGGTAGGACAGAAATCACGAGCTGCTGCCAAAGCTCACAAGAAGACAGAAGGGCACTGCCGAGGGAAATCTCTCCGAATCAGGGAGAAGGTCACTGACTCCCACAGACTCTGTTCATCCTTGTCTTACAACGTGAAATGTGAAATACCAGGAAAGGGGACTAGGGTCTGGAGAAGACTGACGTGTGCCGGAGGAAGGAAGGAATGGATCTTGTGAACTGCAGGAGTCTTTGTCTGAAATGTTCCTTTAAAAATATTATTCTGTTATCTACTCTTGAGCTCTCAGAGTTATCTGAGATTTTCTTATTTACTTAATTACTGTTTCTGGTGCATAGAACTTTTTGTTTGTTTTTGTTTTAGTTCAGTGGTTTTTGGTATATTCACAATTAGTTGTGCGACCATTACTACAGTCAATTTTAGAACATTTTTATCACCCCAACAGGAAATCCCATACCAATTAGCAGTCACTCCTCATCCTCCCCCAAATCCCTGGCCTTAGGTGACCACGTATCTATTTTCTGTTTGTATAGATTTGGCTATTCTGCACACTCATATAAATGAAATTGTATGATACGTGGTCTTTGTGACCGGCTTCTTTCACTGAGCATGATGTTTTCAAGGTTCCATACTGTAGCATTCATCAGCACTTCATTCCTCTTTATGGCCAAATGATACTCCATTGTATAGTTACACCACATTTTATTTATCCATTCCTCAGCTGATGGGCAGTTGGGTTATTTCCACTTTGTGGCTCTGATGAGTAATGCTGCTCTGAACCTTCATGTACAAGTTTCCACGTGGGTGTATGTTTTCATTTCTCTTGGGCATAGACCTAGAGGCAGAATTGCTGGGCCATGAGCCCAGTCTGACCTTTAATGTTTCCATGAATTGCCAAACTGTTTTCCAAAGCAGCTGCACCATTTTACATGCCTGCCAGCAGTGTATAAAGTTCCAATTTCTCCACATCCTCCTCAGCACTGGTCGTTGTCTGTCTTTTTAATTATAGCTAGTCCCCGTGAAGTGGTATCTCACTGCAGTTTTGGTTTGCGTTTCCTTGATGACTAATGATTTTGAGCATGTTTTCATGTGCTTGTTGGCCATCTCTATATATTCTTTGAAACACTATGTATTCAGATCCTTTGCCCTTTTTAAGAATTGGGTTGCCTTTCTAGTTGTTCATAGTTCTCTATATATTCTAGATGCCAGGCCCATATCATATATGATTTGCAAATCATTTCTCCCATCCTGTAGGCTGTCTTTTCATTTTCTTGACAGTGTCCTTTAAGATGCAAAGTGTTAAATTTTAATGAAGTCCAATTTATCTATTTTGTTTTTCTTGTGCTTTTGTGTCTCTTGTGCTTTTGGTGTCATATCTAAGACATCATTGCCAGATCCAATCCAGAAGATTTACACCTTGTTTTCTTCTAGGAGTTTTATATAGTTTTAGTCCTTACATATAGGTCTATGATCCACTTTGAGGTTATTCTGAGGTTTGGTGAGAGGTAGGGGGTCTAACTTGACTCATTTGCAGTGGATATCCTACTGTCCCTGCACTATTTGAAAAGACTACTTTCCTCCCCACTGAACTGTCTCAGCGTCCTTTTGAAAATCAGTTGACCATAACTGTCAGAGTTTATTTGCAGACTAGTCATTCTCAAAAAATGTTTTTGAGTGGAAATGTGAGATAGCACACTGTCCTGTGTTTTCCTTTTACAGCATTTTGCATCTTGTAATTGACTATGAGTGATTATTTATTTATTTACTTTTAAAGATTTTACTCATTTATTTGAGAGAGAGAGAGCATGCGTGAGAGAGCAAGCACAAGTTGGGGAGGGGAGCGCAGAAGGAGAGGGAGAAGCAGACTCCCCGTTGGGCAGGGAGCCCGATGCAGGACTTGATCTCAGGACCCCAGGATCACGACCTGAGCCGAAGGCAGATGCTTAACTGACTGAGCCACCCAGGCGCCCTGAGTGATTATTTATTTAATATCTATATTTCCCATCAGTTGACAAGCTTTGGGGAAGGGCAGGGAAGATGGCGCCTTGCTCATGGCTGGAAACACAGTGCCCAACTTCATGCTTGATACTTGGAGGTGCTCAAGCATGTTTTCTTAACTGACTCACTGCTTCCACTATTAACCCTTTGGTTACTCTAATGACCGTTAGGACCATGACACCTGATGGGGCTCCCAGACAATTTTCTTCCTGAATATCAAGGAATAACAGACACGGCTGGTGTCACCTGTGGGTGCATGCATTTCCAGACATCTCTGGAAAAGGACTAATGAGAAATTGCCCTGCCACAGCAGCCAGGAGACTGTCATCAGCAATGTTAAGTAGCCTTTTGGGAGGCGAGAGTAGCATTTAGTGCTATGCTTCCACTGCCAAATCGATCTCGTTTGCGTCTTCAGAGAATGCCTTACCTGAGCCCACAGACAAAGGCGCCTTAGTGCTGGGTCACCGCCCCTGCCAGCTCACCAATGCTGGCAACTGACTCGTATTTCTTTTCATTCAATTAAATGACCTGTAGTATTGCTGCGTTATACACCCTTCAGAGGATGCCTCTGAAACAGTTCTTTTTAAGTGGAGGAAAGCTTTAATTTGAAAATAGATACGTAGCTGAGAGAAATGTGGGTTGTACGAGGTTTTACACGTTAACAATGTACCCCCATCCAGTGTCTTTATTTTTATAGCCAAATCTGGTGACACCACCAAAAAAGAATAAAGGGAGGTTTTGGAAACAATATAAATAGATGTTGCTTTGGAAACTAAAATACTGGGTGAGTGTTCTAACTGATGTAGTCTTCTGACCTTTCATAGGTAAGCAACAAATTAGGAAGAGTCAACATTAGTAAGGCTGTGAGGTCTGACTTCAAGCAGGTAATGTTGTTTAACTAGGAGCTGGTTCTGCTGCCTTTCCTTGCTTTTAAATGTCAGCGAAGAAAGGCCTCTTAAAACTTGAAGATCTTATAAATACCCCCAAATGTTCAAAACTCAGTTGACTTGAATCCTCATAAACAGACATTCTTGACAACGGACATATTCCTTGAGCCGCACTGAATCTACTGAGCTGGGCCGGCTTTCCAACACTTTGAATCATTCCTTGAGTTGTTGGGTGATGTGTTTTTAGCTACCCTTCATTACGAATAAAGAGGCCACCCCCTCCTTGTGGGTGGTGACGGAGGTGTTTATGTCTTTTGTCTTGTTTGAGTAAAAACAGCATCATCCAGAGCCTGCAGTAAGTGTTTTCAAATAATAATCAAATGGATGAATCCAATAAAAATGGCATTTCAGTCAAAAGAACCTAGTTCCCCAAGTGAAACTTTTCATTTTGCAAACAAAGAAAAGAAACAGAGACTTGAAATGATTTGGGTTTACAATTTTGGAAAGTCTGGAATGGGAAAATAAAATCCAGAACATCCATTATTCACTGTGGCTGTCCATTCTAGCTGCTCAAGGCTGGACAGCTTGCATTTAAATTCGTCTGTATTTCTATTCCAAAGGAGCTACTGACCACTTAGGAAACGCCAGCACTGGGCTTTGAGCTACTCAAATGCCACCCTGCGTATCCTCCCTCGTGCCTAGTTGGCCCACCGTGGGAGCTCAGGAAATGCTTGTTAAGTAGCTCACCACTCTTAATCAGAAACCTGGGAATAAGAGTGTTTAGCATCTAAGTTTAATTAAAGTTTTAAACTTTCAGGAGTGTTTCCTTAAATCCAACTTTCAGTCTTTCCCACTTTCATGTTGTGATTTGGAGATACTTTAGAAAATGTCATTCCAAAGGGTAAATGCGTCATAATAGAAGGACAAACTTACTGAAGGAGTGAGTTTGAGTTCTGATCTCTCCCGATCTCCTTGTTCAAAGAACTCACTGGTTACAAGTTCAGCCACCTGAAACATATACATATTTAATTTATGGTTATATGTGATCTATCATAAGACTCAGAAGTTATTTCTGCCTTCCGTGTATGGTGATGATCTTCAACCCAGATAATCACTTAAAAAGCTTTTGAAGAATTACATTAACATTTTCTGTTTCAAGGTATTACGGACTTTAATCAATGAAACGGATTTCCTTTTAATCAGAGGAACTTGTGCAAGCTATTTTTAGATGCATGCTAGTAGATGATCTCGGAGAGTACAGATTCCATATTCAGGATGAGGCACTGGGTTGCCACCTTCAAAGTAGGAAATGCTCTTATTGCAGAAAAATGAAGCAAATAATGCCTAATAATATTTTTTGTCTTTATAATATGATTTACTTGCAATAATAATTTAGCCAACTTTTGGTTGTTTCTACATAGATTCTTCACTTTGTTGTATACTTTTATCTTAGCTTGGTTTCATTTGCCATCGCCCAAACTCTTTAACTGCTTCACCCTACCAATATTCGCATGCACTCTGGAGAGGATAACCCCAGGGCAACCTCTGCTTCTTACTGGAGCAATCAGCCAAGGGCAGGACTAACGCTAGAGTCACTGTTCATACCAGGTTTTCCTACAGTGTGTCATGATGCAGTTTGAAGAGTGCTGATTTGGTCTTCAAGCTGTCTTAATCGAGGTACTAAAAGTGTTAATTTTGGTAGGTTCCAGTTGGTACAAGCACAATGGAATTGGTGGTTCTACCCCAAATGGTAGAGATTTTTCCAAAGTAAGGACTTCTATTTTTCCACTTTTCATCTATTAGCATGGATGATCAGAAGTTGCTCATTGGTCATTGTTAAGCTGAAGAGAAGCTTCTCCAAGCCCTGTGCTTCTAATGATAGCTTATGGGAAGCATACTGATATAGCAGTAAGTGTTAAATGGGTATTTTCAACAACACTATAGTGTGCATCTAGGAAATCTCTGAGATGAACTAGCTGGATTTAGAAAATTTGGAAGAGCAGGAAAAAAAAGTCCCAGAAAACTTGATGGCAAGAAGATCTGGATCCCCAGACTAGTTTTTCCTCTATTCCAGGCTCTTATAAAGATGAGGTTCTAAGGTCTGGAAAAGGCTAGAATGGTTTAATTTTGGTCAAGTGGATAGAATCAAGATAGTTTACTTAAGTGTATCTCTCAAGAGATTCTGCCAACCATAAATCATAACCATTGATAAAACATAAAAACGTCTCTCTCCGTCTCTGTTTCTGTCTCTCTCTCTCTCTCTCTCTCTCTCTCTCACACACACACACACACACACACACAAACACCCCTTGAGAATAGCAAGTATGTAGCTCATTTATAAAGAAATAGAGTATCTAGTCAGTTCAGATTTTAAACATTTCTTTCTTTTTTTTTTTTAAAAGATTTTATTTATTTATTTGACAGAGAGAGAGA